TCAGCATTATACCTGTCATGTAGTAAGCGTTCAGTCAGTGTGTGTTCCCGTCCCCATAAATTGTATTTCATAACAGCACTTTCTTTTTGATAAATAGATCAATGGATGTTTACTCATTGATAACTATTAAATGAAGTGATTACTTTCATAGTTTTAAAATGAAGTAAAATAGTTGAATACAGCAACAGTTTGACATATTTCATCCCCACGTAAGTGAATACGAGTTTGACATCTTTCATAGCATTGCTCTCTAGGATAGAGTTGGCAGATCTGATTGACTAGATCTGGTATTCCCTTTGTCCCACCAGCTCTATTTACTTTCTCTCCCAAATTGTCTACTAGGAGGACATTGTTCACAGACAGTACATCTATATTATTCTTTGACCAAAAATAGTAAGGGACTTACTTTGTGATATCTGTGGAAATTTACAGTACTATGAAGACTTAAAATTTGAGATAAAATTACAAATTAATGGAGTAAGAGAGTTTCTTTTAATCTCCACTTTTAATTGACAATAGTTTCCCTATAAGTGAGGTCTGGTTTGGCTTCATTTTTTATGTGTGTTTCACTCCACATTCATCTAATAAATGATTATTTAACTCCTATTATTTCTATGGCATATAGTTTCACAGGCCTTTTCTCATATTGTGCTTCGGTGTAGCAGATGTTGATCACAGTGACACCTACCAGTATGGTATTCACTGATTGTGATTTCACTTCTCTTCTTTCTCATCCATGGCCTATCTTTAGCAGCTACCAAGCTATACAATATTAGGTCAGTCACCTCTACTCTTATCTGAGGGTGAATGGGGTAGCTCTGACTACTAGGGAGAAAGTTTGAGTTAGGGTGTATTTAAGTTCATTATTTGGCATGTGAAAAGGAGTGAGGCTGGCATCAGGAAGTCAGTGAGATTGAGTGTACAGAGGTTCAGGTGAATATATGATCTGGTAAAGATTATATTGGATGTTTGTTTCTTGTGATATTTGCATATGTACAATGTTATAAAACTGGCTGGAGGAAAGTTGCCAAAAAGTTGTCTTAAAGGTCTTTAAATTAAAAAGCATTTTGCAGGTTTTTAGTTAATTTTTAAGACTCTAAGAGCAAATTTCTGTGACTTTTTACCTTTGTCGTAGTCTCTGAAATCATTAGGGTGATATAATTTCTTTCTTTTCATTTTATAAATTAAGTAATGATTTGATACTTCCTATTCTTTTATTTTAAAAAGTATGTTTGTGTTTACCGTAGAGTCACAATGGCTTCAGCCTTTCGCCTTTCTTTGAAACCAAAGGTCAGTGACAACATGACTCACTTAATGGTGGATTTCTCTCAGGAAAGACAGATGCTGCGAACTTTGAAGTTTTTGCCAGGTAAATACAGGTATTACATGTAAAGTTTTATATAAAAAAATTTTTTTCTGCAAGATTTTTCTGTAATGAATATTGATATGTAAATATTAAAGAAGTATAGTATGATTTTTTTCCTTCATTCAGTTAAGGAATAATCAAATTTGCTAGTTTTTATTTTTAGAGATTTTTATGGTAGTAAAAATTCCATTTAGGAATTCCATTAAGGGTTATCTTTCATTGCTAGCTTAGCAGAGGGAAGCAGTATTGCATGATAGTGAATAGTGGGTCTTGAGGCCAGACTTCTTAGGTTTGAATCCTGCTACTTACTTGCTATGTAATCTTGAGCAAGTTACTTAACTTGCCTCATTTTCTACATCTTTAAAGTGTCATATTATTCTTCTAGGGTTTTTATAAGCATTAAGTGAAACGATACCTCTAAAGCACTTGTAGTAATACCTGGCACATAGTTAAAACTCAACGAATGTTAGCTGCCATCATTACTATTATTGTTGTGGTGGTTGTTAGCTCACATGGAACTTTATTTCCAATAATATGTTAACATTGGTTTATTAGAGCATTAGTATGAGGATATTGCAGTAGCCAAAACCATTTGAGTCTCAAATTGTTGCCCACATATGTGAAAGAGCCAGTTAGGGACCTGCCTGGTCTGTTTTATATTGCCATAACAGAACACCTGAGACTGGATAATTTATAAAGAAAAGAGGTATATTTAGTTCATGGCTTTGCAGGCTGGGAAGTTCAAGATTGAGCAGCAGGCTTTGGTGGCTTCTGGTGAGAGCCTTGTGCTGTGTGAAAACACAGCAGAGGGGAACCCAGCATATGTGAAAAGGGCAAAACAAGAGAAGCAACCTTGCTTTATAACAATCTGCTCTCATGG